AGAGACAGAGAGACAGACACCTGGGAGAAGATTCCAGATAGTGTTTTTTTTTCTGTGCAATAGGATGACTCAGCAGATAACTGAGGTTCTAATTTTATTCATTTCTTTCAAAAATAGATTCTGCTGGTTTTTGGTGTTTTGATCCTGGGATTGATCCTGCTAAATAGCCTTGACTTGTATAAATTTATTTCAAAGTTTTTAACACTATTAACCTACATGTTACTCAGACTCACAAATGTGCTTCAAAGCTACCTTTTGTCTCTTTTTGTCTCCAAGTCCAAGAAAAAACATTCTGTTTAGCCACCAATTTTATTTTAAGGGTGATATTTCAAAGTATAAAAGATATCAAAAAAGCTGAATATTTACAATTATGTTATAAATTACAGAGCATACAATATGTAAGATGTTGGAGAGGAGATATACAAAGTACATTAAACAGCAAGGTTATTTGTCACTGTTGTGCCACTCTACAGAGTTGGAAGTGCTGATGAAGGGAGGTCACCTTTGTTTTCTTTTTCTGCAGCCAGGAAGGACCATCCTGAAATCCAGCAGGGGTGGAAGCTCAGCCTCTGAGGACAAATGTGTCTTCCAGGAGTGTCATCTCTAGAAAGGACTAATGGATGTGTTTAGAAGGGTGTCAGGTAATAGCCAGCATTAGTGTCAGGTAATACAGCCACATTTCCTGCTCATTTCTGGAATGTGGAGCAGGAACACAACATTCAAATTAGAAATTTCCGGTCTGTAATCAGGATTGGGTTTCAGTGCTGGCCTTGCAACTCCCCACGGGCATGTAGGGAAGCTGCTAATCCTTTACCATGAGGTAATGAAGGAAGTAGCCACCTCACTGGAAAGAATGAGCAAATGCAAGCTTAAGTGGTCAGTAAACTGAAGAGAAACTTTTTCTTGAAATTAAGGATTCTTTGTCTAAATACCAGTGAACAATAACTTTGACCAGGACTCACTATATTAGCAGACATTCACTGTGGCTTTTTCAGAAGACAGTGCATTGTGGTAATTCATTGAGGGCATCTCTGCAAGGAGCTCAGATGTCTCATGGTTCAGGTCTTGCACTTCTTTTGTTTTTTGGGTTTTTTTGGTACTGGGGATCGAACTTGGGTCCTTGCGCTTGTGAGGCAGGGGGCGGAACCACTGAGCTAAATCCCCAGCCTGTGCACTTCTTTAAAGGATTACCTGTTTTACTGTTTGGAGAAGTTCTGTGCAGGTTTATTAAAAATAAGCTTCCGCCTTTGGAAATGACAGAGACGATAATTACAAGCTTGGGACAAAATATAAACAGCTACTCAAAGGCATCAGAGAACAGCTAAAATAGGCAAAAATTGGAAAGGCATGAACCTTTCACAGAAGCAGCAGGAGAACTCTGCTGGCTAAAGTTCATGTCCATGTGGCTTTTTACCTGTTGGGGACAAGGCCACGAGGTGTGGGGAGGAGATAAGCAGTGAAATCAAGTCTTAACAGCTTGAGGAGTCAGAGGAGAGCTTGTGGCTGCTGGAGTTACTGAAATGTGAGGGAGAGTATGCTGAAGAGGGGCAGCTCCAAATCTGTAAACTTCACACAAATCCTTGAACTTTGCATGCTTAGAGAAGACTCATACAAAGCCCAGGAAAAGCAATAGCTCAGAGGCTGAACTCAGCAAAGCTTTTTAACTGCTGGGCAGACAAGAGTTTAACTTCTGGCTGGAACAAAGTCAACATTTTGTAAAAAACAGGGAATCTCAAGGTTTTATATCCATAATGTCCAGCATACTATAAAATATTACTAAATGTGGGGTGGGGCACAACAGGCAAATGTGACATAATCAAGAAAAAAAATCAATAGAAGATGGTCCTGAGATGACTGACTGGCTGTACTAGGGACTGAACCCAAGCAGTGTTGAGCTGTATCTCAGCCCTCTATTTTTTCCTTTGAGACAGAGTATCACTAAATTGTCCTACTGCCCTAGGCTCATTTCAAGTAGCTGGGATTGCAGGGCACACCACCATGTGCAGCTGATACACAAGATGAAATAACAGCCAAGTACTTTGAAACAGCTTTTTTTCCCTGCCCCTTTTCCTTATATAGATTATTCATTGTGGGGAGCTGGTATGTGTGCATATCACAGTCCTTTTTACTTCTCCATCCCCTCCTTCCATCTCTACAAAGTCTCCCTCCCTATTTATTATCACCTGTTGTTTTGCTCCTAAATTATGTATACTTGGGGTTTCCTATATAATAAAATGGCTATTTAAAATATGTTCAAAGAGCCGGGGATTTAGCTCAGTGGTTTTGCCGCCTGCTGCACAAACACAAGGACCCAAGTTCAATCCCTGGTACCAAAAAAAAAAAATGTTCAAAGATGTAAAGATGAATACAGTCATAAGGAATGATAGATGGGGGAACTTAGAAAACAAACTAAACATGAATGTTCTAAAACGGAAAAGTACAAAAAATCTGAAATAATTTTCCTTAGAAGAAAGGTCAGTGAACTTATAGACCAAAAATTCATATGAAGAACACAGAAAAACATAAAAATGAAAGAATCCTGATGACCTGTGGATATCAAGGAGTCAAATACAGTCACGAGTCCTACACTGAGAGAATAGATTCATAGAAAAAATATTTCATGACTCAATGTCCCCAAATTTCCAAATTAATGAGAAAATAGACATACAGATAGAAAGAACCTAGAAAATCCCTGTAAGTAAATAATTGACCATACCTAGTCAATACAGTCAGAAGTAAAAACTTAAGAGAATGTGTTGAATGCAGCCATAAAGAAAACAGTATATACAAGAAAATGAGGGTGTTTGAAATTGGTAATGAGTATCTTGAAAGTGCTTTAAGAAAAAATAACCAGAATTCCATATCAAGTGAAAACATCCTTCAAAAATGAAATACAGAGAAATAGTCACAGCAAATGTGTACTTGAAAGAAATGTTATATGTAGGAAGTTCTTCAGGCTGAAAGGAAATAATCCCAGTGGAAACCTGGATTTAGGAAAGCAAGGAAGTACAGGTTACATCCATGTTTCTTACAATTTCTTTTAAAAACATGACTAAAAGGGCCGGGGATTTAACTCAGTGGTTCTGCTGCCTGCCTCGCAAGCGCAAGGTCCTGAGTTTGATCCCCGGTTCCAAAAAACAAAAAAAAAACATGACTAAAGAAAAATGATACCTGGACATGGTGGCACATGCTTGTAATCTCAACTACTCAGGAAGCTGAGGCAGCAGGATCCCAAGTTTGGTGCCAGCTCAGGCAACTTAGTGAGTCTCTGTCTCAAAGATTTTAAAAAGAGCTGGGGATATAGCTCAGTGGTAGACTGCTTGCCTCATATAAGCAAGGCCCTGGGTTGAGTCCCCTGTACCTCCCTGACCCTAACACACAAAGAGAAAAATATCACTGTAATGTAGGGTTTATAGTGTGTGTGTGCATGTATGTATACATATGAAATAATTACTAACCAAGTAAAATTTGGAAAGGCAAGTCTATAGAGAAATAAAATACTAAAAATTATGTGAAGGCTATGGGGATTTAGCTCAGTGGTTCTGGCACCTGCCTCACATGTGCAAGGCCCCGAGTTTGATCCCTAGTACCAAAACAAAAATGAACAAAAACCAAGGGGTGGCTAGGGCAAATCGAAAACAAGTAACAAAACTGTATTCCAAAATTCAACCTCATAACAAAACTTGACAGATTACAGCAAACGAAAATTACAGACCAATATCCTTCACAAATATAGATAGTATTTTCAGTATAATATTAGCAAAATAATCCAGCAGTACATGAAAAAAGGGTTATGATCAAGTATGTTTATCCCCTGAAAATTGATTTTAATACTCCAAATAAATATAACTTACCAAGTTAATGAAATAAGGGGAAAAACATTTCTCTCAACTGGTACAGAAAGTTTATCTGACAAAATTCAACTCAGCAAACTAGGAATAAAAGGAAGCTTTTTTTTTTTGGTACCGGAGATCGAACTCAGGACCTTGCGCTTGTGAGGCAGGCGGCAGAACCACTGAGCTAAATCCCCGGCCCCAAGGAAGCTTCTTTTTACATAGAAGGGCTTTCTGAAAAATCTTACAGCTAAACATGACAGGAGTGAAATCCTGAACATCTTCCCCCAACAATGAACAAGTCAAGGATGCGGACTTTACTCCTTTTATACCATGCTGTACTGGGGAGCCTAGCCAGTGCGATACACAGAAGAAAAAAGTTGTAAAAGTTAGGAAGAACATTTTCCTGTATTTGTAGACATGGTTATTTACATAGAAAATCTAAAGGACTCTACTATAACTACTAGACATAAGTGAATTTACAAAGGTTGTGGGATGTAGGGTCAGTAAAGTCAGTTGCACTTTGCCATACAAACAAAAAATGAAAAAAATTAAATTCCATTTAGTACCAGACTCTCCCCAAATTACCTGTGCGTAAATTGAACATGAAAGACTTTCATGTAGAAAATTACAGAATATTGTCAGGAGGAATTGAAAAAGATTCAAATTTAGAGACACATGAGTAGACTGGTAGGTAAGTTTTGTTAAAGATGTCAGTCCTCTTCAAAATGCTCTATGGAATCAGTACAACTCTGGTAGGCAGAGTTTTAAGATGGTCCCCAAGATTCCCACAACCAGTGCACACCACATCTTGTGTGTTTTCCTTGTAAGAGGGGAGGGCTTGTGACTAGGATGTCATAATCATCATATTAGCCTGTATTATCTGACAAGATGAAGGGTTTTACAAGGTGTAGTTAAGGCCCACAGTCAGCTGATTGGGAATTAAAAGGAGCTCATCATAGGAGGGCCTGACCTAACTGCGTCCTTCATAAAGGTTCCAGACTCTCCCCGAAGGGAGAATAGACATCAGAGAGCTGCTCAAGCTGTGGATGAGCCACAGGTCAGGAACCCGCAGCCACGGGACACAGAGTTCCACCAACAAGCTATACCTAGAAGAGGACTTCACACTCAGGTAAGCTCGCAGGTCTAGTCAGCACTGTGCCCATGGCCTTGTGTGAGTTGGAGCAGAAGACTCAGCTAAGCCATGACTCTCACAGAAACTTTGAGATAATGTATGTCTAAGATGCTACATTTGTGATAGTTTGTTAAATGGCAAACAACTCCCAAGCATAGAATCTAAGATAATCTTATTAGCTGGCTCTGGTTTTAATGGGCCAATTACAAAGAAGCCCATGTGACCATTTTTGTCTTTGTGAGTTTCTCACTATGAAGCCCAGGCTGGCCTGGAACTCACAGTCCTCCTGTCTCAGCATCTTGAGAGCAAGTATTGCAGGCATGTGCCACCAAGCCAGGCACTCCATGTGACTTGACAGTATGTTCTGGGTGGAATTTATGCTGCTTGGCCAAATGACCTTTGTCACCCTGGAGGCTGTACTGCTTTCACTTTAGTGTTTCAGAATGGTCCACCAGAGGTCTGCTGTCAGACTGTTCAAACGAGACAGTTAAACGATGCATGGGAAGGGGCAGGGGCTGACGGGAAGGGTGAGGAGGAGCATCCTGGGGGACGGCCCGGCCCTCACCTGCAATACTCAATGTCCCATCTCGGCTCGCAGGTAGTGGGTGGAGTCTAAAATTTTTTTCAGTTGTGCAGAGTTTAATCTTTCTGAACACATAGGACACGTGCTTTCAGTGTTTAACAAGCTGTTTTGGGGAGGAAAATGCAAGAGTTACTTTGGGGTTACTCTAATATGAAAAACAGCTATTTTCTGTCTACACTTAACACACGTTCATCATGCAATTTAAGAATCAGCGATCCTTGGTCTGCTATAAGACCCTCTTAAAGATAATGTTCTCCGAGGTCATAGAGGTTTCTCCCAAGAAGCCAGTTTGGGGCTCTGGGGATCTTGAGGAATGTGAAGAAATAAGGAGAGTTCAGAATAAAGGACTGGTAGAATGAGAGGGCCACTTTTGGATCAGTATGTGTGACCGAGTGGCAGGGTACACACTTACATCTTAAACTCTGAGTACAGCGCAGGAAAGTCACAGTGCGGGCACACTGTCCAGTCATCCTTCAGCATATGTCGGCCCTGGGAGTGAACATTTGAGAGTAAAATTCATCTTTATCTTAAAAATCCCACCATTATTTAAGTATACTACAGAATTACAGTTAAAAGCCAGACCTCTACACTGAAGAACTATGGCTATTTCATAGGTAATGGACTAAGAAGAGATAGCATTGAAAGGACTAAAGGCAAAAAAAAAAAGAAAAGAAAAGAAAGGACTAAAGGCAGGTTTTCCTTATCAGTATCACATTGAAAGAATCAGTTTCAATTTTTTTACATTATTACTTGGTGTTATTTTAAAACAGGGCTTATATTACCCCAGTGATTAACAAGTGATTGGTATTTTCATGTTTTCTGATAGCAGGTTTTAAGAAGAACAAGAAAATGCCACTGATGAAATGCCAGGTGTATCCTAAGGCTTTGCAGATGTTAGCGCATCAGTCTGGTTGATCTTAGTAGCAAGGAGGTGTTACAGATGTGATAAAAGCAAATTGGACTTCGGCTAGGTAGGCAACAGGTGGCTACCTAAGAAGGAGGATTTAAAGCTCAGGCCTGCTCTACTGCTGCAGAGAGCCTCCATTCAGATTATTAAATGCTCTAAAATAACTTTCAACTCCATTGGCCATGAAATCACATGCTAAATGTTTTAAGAAGTTTGAGAAATAATGTTAGAAATGAAGACAGTGCTGGTGTACAAGTGTTCAAATAGAAAGGGAAATGATTCTAAAGAAACTTACTGTTACAATGCAGTAGGGTATATTGTTTTTACACCCAGGACAGAGGAGCTCACACTCTGGGAGAAGAAACTGGCAGAATGGACACGGGGTCATGGCCTCTTCTGTCTCAGTTGTATCGGGTCTCCTGTGAGGAAGAGTTGCATGTCATTTAGAGTGACATGGATAACAGCAGATTCGGACAGGACCATGTAACACACCCATTGCATAGGCAGATTGAGTGGATTCAAGATACTTCCTAGCTCACATCAGCCCTTGGTCCAGTTTTAGTGGTAAGGAAGAGAACCTGGGCCTGGCCAGGTTGTAAGGTGTGACGCAGGCACAGGAGGAGCTGGAGTTGTAGCATGCGTGGTAAATGCAGGAAGGGGAGGAGGTCGTGGTCCCTCCTCTTGCTGTGCTGCTGGGGTGAGCTTCTGGGGTGAGCTGCTGGTACCCTTCCTGTCTCTCCCCCTGTAACTGTGAAGTGGCGAGAACTTTCTGGGACAATGGACGGTTCCAATTCTGTGCCGTCCACTACACTGGTCATGAGCCAGACACTGCTTTTGAGCACTTGTATCTGGGAGTGTGAGGAATAAGCTTTAAAGTTGATTCCATTCTAGTTAAAGGGCCATGTGTGAACAGCAGGTGCCAACTTGGAGCACACAGCCACAGGCCACTCACAGGTGCAGGGGCAGAGTGCCGGAGTTAGCGGCTCCTCCTCATGGTCCACACTCGCAGGTGTATATATGCTGGGTCAGACTGATCTGGCCTAAAGCCATGTAGGCTTGGCAGCTTCCAAAGAACAGTGTACGCATAGCCCTATCCAGCATCCACGTTCTCTGCCACCAAGGTTGGTCCCTGGCCTGGCTGACACAAAAGCATTACCAGTGAGTCGTTTCCCCTGGCTGAGGTGTGGGGTGGAGACTTGGGAACACCTGGGTCCCTTTGCTGTAATGTGACGAAAAGGACACGACTTTGATCAAATAGTTTAGAAGTGCTCCGTGATTCCAAATACTTTTTCCTAGTTGTCTTTAGAAAGCCAGACAGGGACGTGCCTCCTGCCTTTGGGGCTGCAGAGGATTTGGAAACACGGCTGGCAGTGGGCTGTTTAATGCGGAGTTTCCCACACTGAGAACACTCGCTGAGTATTCACCTGTGTGGCAGACACTGCTGCCTACCTCACAGCCATTCTCTCTAGCTTCCTTCCCAAGAAAACAGCAGTTGGCTTTGCAGCTAGAGGTGCTGTGTGGCAGAGTACCGGCCAGTGAGGGGAGGTGGGTCCCGGGGATGGTGCCTCCCAGAGTAAAAAGCTAAAGACCTAAACATGCTCGATTACTCCACCTCCTCCTGCCTTAAACAGGGATGTGATCTCCATAAGCGTGGCAGCTGTTTTGCAGCCATGAGCCTCTGCAATGAATGGCACAGCTGGAAGAGAGGAGTCTGCTTGGTGGCATCAAAACCTGTGGCACCAGCCTGGGACTATGACGGTGACGAGCTGTGCATGAGTCACATAAATCCTCACCTGTTCAAGAAGATGTCGCTGAGTTTTCTGCTGGTCTGTAGGATATAATCCTTTACTCCCATCCAGTCAGCAGCCCCATTTGGGAAAATACCTTTGAGAAATGTGATCAGATAAGAAATGGCGCTCTCTGCCTACCTGACCATGGCCTCGATCTTCTTTTTGTATTTGGAATCTATCTTGTTTCGGTACTCGGGCCGCATAAGCATGGCTGCAAAGCTGAAAGCAGAGTTCTTCAGGCCCGCCCGGTGGCACTCGATCACAGTAGAGGTGAGGATCGGCACAATGTCTGCAACACAAAGGGGACAGCAGGAAGCACGGTGGCCGCCCTTGTGACCAGGCCTGACTCACAATCACGCTTCTCGGTGCTTTGCTAGGATCTGCTTAATGAGGGAAGGGCCCCAAAAGGGCTGGTTTGAGTGCTTGGCAAAGGCCCTTCCCTTGTGTAGTGGTGCCCGTGCCACCGGGACCCACACCCTATGAGGAGCCTGGCAGTGGGTGCTGGACAGGACTGCTGATCAGTGGGTCAGGGGAACGAGTAACTATGCCCTCATCTCTCTTCCAGCATCTACTTTCTTTCTTCAGGCAGGAGACACCCAGAATTACTGCCCAAGCAACATGACCTTATAAAAATTACTTGCTACAAATTGCCAAACCGCTTCCTAGAAAGGCTGCATCAGTTTCCATTCCCACTAGCATTCACATCCCACGCTTTGCCAGCATGGTCATTTAAAAGTCCTTTCTGTTTTCTTTCTTTCTGTTTTTTTTGAAACAGGGTCCCACTGTGTAGGGCAGGTTGGCCTCAAACTCATGGTAATCCTCCTGCCTCAGCCTCTCGAGTGCTGGGATTATAGGTGTGGACTACCACACCGCAAAAGTTTTCATGTAACAAAAAAAGAATGCATTCAGAGAACAAGGGTTATGAACTGTGGCCTGCAGGCCAGATCTGGCCCTCTCTTGCCTATGGCCCATGAACTAAGAATGGTTTTTATATTTTTAAATGATTAGAAAAAAAAAAAGAATGTATCTTTGTTAAAATTACATGAGGTTCAAATTTCTGTGTTGAAGAAGTAAAGTTCTGTTGGAACCCAGCCCTGCTTATTCATGTACATATTGTTCAGGCCGAAAAGGTGAAGTTGAATATTTATTATTTATATTTACTAGAGAGACAAAACGGCCTGTGAAGCCTAAAACATGTAACATGTGGCCTTTCACAGAAAAAGTTTGCAGATGCCTGTCATCCATGACAAAATCTCTCCACTGAAGAATGTGAAACTGACACTTAGAATAAGGAGGCCTTTTTCCTGAGGCGATGTACTCATTGAGAACAAAGAATCAGCACTGTGGGAGCTCGCAGGGTGACTTGGCTCCCTTTTCCTGGCACTGCTAACCTATAAGATGGGAGAATAACAACAGCACATGTGTGTAGAAACATGATGAGCTTGCGACTGTTACCCTCAGAAAGACCTGCTTGGATGCCTGGCCCTTGGCTTGTACCTGGGAACTGGACATGGGGAGGGAGCCCCCTGGCTCCAGAACTGACAAACGGCTGTGTGCCTTAAGTCCTTTACAAACCATGGTTTATGCTGGATCCCTGCTTTCTGGGAGTCTGGGAAGTTGGTTGGTGAGTGCAGATTTCATAGCATTGCCCTAAGGTGGAAGTGCGGATACTGCGCTCCATTTAGACAATACTTACGGGATGGAAACTTGCTAATGTTGTTGGCCACTCGAATGAGCATGCGTGCCCCTTTCAAATGATCAGCATTTTTAACGTGGATCTGAAATAAATAATCTACTTTATTCTTCTTACAGGCTCAGATCAACCCCAAGTCATGCTTTCTTCCCCCACACAACTCCTTGAGTGTGGCCCAGCACAGGGCCATCCTCAAGGTCCTTGGAGCCTTTCCCGGCTCCTGCGCCTGGGACTTCACCCAGGCCTCGAGGGCACTGCAGGCACTCAGGTGTGAGACAAGGGGCCCTCAAAGGTGGGGCCATGGGGAGGGAGAAGCCCTTTTATCTGTGCCTTTCATTCCACAGTTCTAGTTATCTGTGATCCACCATTGTCCAAAAATATTAATAACTTTTATTGTATGCTATAACTATCTTAGTTATATTTAACCTCGCACCAGAAGCAGGGAGCAGGAAGCTTATCTTATCCTGCCTCCCTTTCTGCTCGATCTGGTCTCCACACTGCCCAGCTCAGCTTTCCATAGCCAAATCTCCCAGGCTGCCCTTCAGCCAACATCCCTGTCCTCAAAGCCTAGTCCAGCTGTCCTGGAGTAGGGGTGGATCTCTCCTCAGTCCTCTGAGGCAAAGTCACCCGTGACATTTTTTCATGGAATTTTTTCTTGCTTGACAGGGCCTGATAGTTTCCTTTTAGTACCACAGCCAGTCAATAATCTTAGAAAGCCCAGGACATGCCTAGTGCTACATAAGAGATCAGAGCAGAGGGGAAGAGTTGCAGGCCGCTTTCTGGCGGGAAGGGACGAGGACATCTGTGGGAATGGAAGTGACAGGGCAGCCCTTGGGCCAGAGGAAGAAGGAGGACTCAGGAAGCATCCACAGCTGATGGTGGCAGACAGCCACGGTCTGGGGGGCTTCTAGGAATCCTTATTTTCTGCTCCTCATCTCCTACCAAGCAGTTTCTAAGCTCCCTTGAAGGCTGCATTGTGTACCACCACTCAAGGCTGACACAGAAGAGGCCCTCCTCCTTTCCACTCCTTTCTCTGAGCAACAAGAGTCCTCCTGTTGCTCTGAAGGGAGAGGCACACCCAGGGGCTGCAATGGATTCTAAATGCCTCTCCCGTGTAATTACTCTTATAGACCTGTGTGGTCTAACACGGCAGCCAGTGGTCACATGTGGCTACTGAAATTTAAAAATTCAAATGACATAAAATTAAAAACAGCCTTGTCGGTTGTGCTAGCTGCATTTCAAGTGCTCCACAGCCAGGCCGGTGGCTGAGTACTGAGCAGGACAGACAGAGCGGTTCTATCTCAGCAGAGTTCTACAGGATAGGCTGACACAGGCCATCTCGGGGATTTGAACCCTTTGTACATTTACCACACTATGCTAGGTGACTTGCAGGTTAAATCAGCTCTGTGGATGGGTCAGAGAACCAAGTTAGCACTAATATAGAAAGAGGTACTTTGATAAACTGAAAAATTGGGAAAATACATGTTAGATTTCGCCTGTACCTTTACAAAGATAGTGTATATATAAGCAAATATATATACACATACACGTATAGCATTAATGTAAATTATACACGCAAGTACTAGATTCTTTTTTTTTGTACTGGGGATCGAACTCTGGACCTTGAGCTTTTGAAGCAGGTGGCAGAATCACTAAGCTAAATCCCCAGCCCCATAATTTGATTCTGTTAAGAATTACTGAATAGGAAACCAGAATAAACAAATGGATATAAATATAATCCTGATTTAGTAAAATAAATTAAAAAGTGCACACATGCATTTATAAAAGTATAGAGAAGATACACAACACCAACAATTGTTATATCTGGGTGATAAATTTGAAGCATGAATTGTTTTTTTCATTATACTTTTCTAGAGTCTCAAAATTTTCCTAATGAATTGTATTATTTTTATATTTAGATGAAATGGAAACTATTGAAAACTGAAATTTTATAAAATACAGTAGCTTAGAGTTAATAAACAAACTCTAGATCAACAGAAGGGTTTTAAGAAAATCTTTTTTGGGCCTGGGTAATGCATCTGTATACTTCGCAGTCAGAATGAAATGGAAAGACACACAGCAAAGCCCGCTCCCCTCCTGTCCTGTCAGCTTGACTCTGGTGCTGTGCATCCCCTGTCCTGCACCCCTTCCCTCTAGAAAACCACTGTTGCTGAGCCCTGCAGTATGTTCTTCATTTTATTTGCAGTAAATAGCTATACATTCTTTTCACTTTTTTGTAGACAAAAGGCAGCATATTGTAGAATTATTCTGTACTTTGCTCTTGTCACTTGAAACCTAGGAAACTACTCTGGTCTGATGCAGAGGTGCCCGGAGGAACACGCAGGGCTGGCTGTGTCCCAGGTCTCTCAAGGGCCTCACCTTCACAAGTATGTAACTGTGCAGAATCATGAGGTTGGTGGCCATCTCAGAGGGGATTTTGATCTTCTGGGATTTTAGCTCTGCATACATGCTGAAGAGAACGTCATGTGCATTCCGATAGTTTCCTGGAAAAGAGGTGGTAAAGTGACATTACTGCCAAGGATGAAATCTGAGGTCTGTCCATGGCTTTCCTCTTACAAGAGGTCTTGCTAATTATTTATTACCAATATTTTAGCCATCTCGTCATACAGTAACTTAATTGTTCCTGTTTTAATCGGTGGTTCTCTCACGTGACTACCCTGTGTGGTGGTGTCCTCGGAGCTGTCTCACCCTTCCTCAGGGCATCCATTTGTCCCTAGTCCACTGGGTCATAAGTTTGGGTCCTTCATAGTCTGCTCCTCCTCCCCACAGCCAGCACTGGACATCTCCCCTCTCTCTGGGCATCAGCTTTCTCCCCCATCAGTCTTTCCAAAGCCTCAGGCCTCCCCTAAACCCTGATGCTTCCAGGGCACCGTCGTGTAACTCCCCTTCCATGAGACTCCCAGAAGAGTGCCTGCTTAGCACGTGCAAAGCCCTGCAGTGGATCCCCAGCACCCCGAAACTGAGCAACCCGCCAGAGGCAGGAAGATCAAGTGTAAATGCTGAAGTCACAGTCTCCCATCAACCTTGGCGGGCTGAACCCTGGCCTGGTCCTCTCCAGGTCCTGAGCTCCTGCCACACATCTGACAGACAAGTAGCAGATCAACACAAGCTCAATAAAGTAATGATGGATTTAACTGCATATCTTCCAAAATTGTGATATTTAGGAACATCTAAGAACTGACTTGCAAAAACTAATGGGAATCGTAGACTAATTCTCTTACTCAAACAAATATTTACAGAGCACGTAAATGAACAGAAGCATTTTGGAGATTTTGTAACAGCCTTGTAATGATAAAGAACCAGATCCACTATCATATGGTATAATTACCTTCCACCTTCTAATGTCTCTCACATGGATCAGACCAAATGCATGAAGTAGAAAGAAAATGCTATGAGCTGCAGGAGGAGGTTGTGGGCTGCAGTGGTCAGAGAAGTCACCGTCCCAGAAGACAAAAACTGAGGTTGCAAAGGAGGGCAGGAAATAAATCCCATTGGTCCATAAGTCCCTGTAATGGTGAATTATTTTGCTGCTTTGAAACCTAAAAATGGCCATCTCCTTAGCTTTTGGATTCAAAGCAAGCCTAGATTAGACTTGATCTTAGCTGAAAGGCTGAAAAGTGATGGGTAAGAAACTTCTACTCTTTCTTGGGCATTAAGAACGGTTAAGGATTGATTCTATGCCCTGTTTGAGGAGAAAAAAAATCAGGGACCTGGGGGTGTAGCTCAGTGGTAGAGCCCTGGGTTCCATCACTACCACACACATGAACACACACAAACACATGCACACAATCAATTTTAAACATAAAAACTAAAAATTAAA